CTGATGCTGATGCTGATGTTGATGCTGATGATGATGATGATGATGATGATGATGACGATGCTGATGCTGATGCTGATGCTGATGCTGATGCTGATGATGATGATGCCAATGACGATGACGATGATGATGCGTATAATGACTACAATGATTATAATGATTATAACGGTGGTGATGATGAGGAGGATCAGAATCAGGATTAGGATCACGATCAGGATCATGATGGTGATCCTGATGCTGATGACGATGACTATGACGATGACAATGACGATGGCGATCATGATAATGACGATGATGACGATGATTAGGAGGAGGATGGGGATGAGGATGATGATGAGGATAATGAAGATGAGGATGAGGATGATGATGATGATGCTGATGATCATGATGAGGCTGAGGATGAGGGTGAGGACGAGGAGGCTGAGGATGATGATGATGAGGATGAGGATGAGAATGAGGATGAGGATGATGCTGACGATGATGATGATGGTGGTGATGATGACGACGACGACGATGGTGACGCTGCTGACGATGATGAGGAGTAGGACGCTGACGATGATGATGGTGGTGGTGATGGGTATACTGATGATGACAACGATGCTGACGATGATGATTGTGATGGTGTTGGTGATGCTGGTGGTTTGAGTGTTGATGATGATGATGATGCTACTAGTGATGATGACAGTGATGCTGATGATGATATGAATGCTGTTGTTGATGATGATGGTGATGGTGATGGTGATAGTGATGGTGATTATGTTGATGATACTTGAAATGATGTTGATGATGATGACGACGACGATGTTGATGATAGTGATGCTGATGGTGCTGGTAGTTATGATGCTGATGATGATGATGGTGGTGGTGGTGATGGTGATGGTGATGGTGATGGTGATGATGGTGATGATAGCGATGGTGATGATGACGATGAGCATGACGATGACGATGACGATGATGATGAGGAGGAGAAGGAGGAGGAGGAGGAGGAGGGGGAAGAGGATGAGGAATGGGCAGGGGGAGGGGGTGGGCGAGAGGAGGGTATTTTGTTTGAGGGGGGGGGTGGGGGGGGGGGGGGGGGGGAAGGGAGGGGGGGGGGAGGAAGAGGAGGTGAGGAGAGGTTGGAGGAGCGGAGGATTGATGAATGGCTGATGGAATGGTTGAATGGATGGACGGGGTGGAGGAGGAGGGGGGGGTGAGGAGGGAGAGGAGGAGGAAGGCGGAGGAGGGAGGAGGAGGAGGAGGAGGAGGACGAGGAGGAGGAGGAGGAGGGGCGAAGGAGGAGAAGAGGAAGGAGCTGGAGGAGGAGGAGGAGGAGGGCCAGAGTCAACCCAGGATGCATCAACGATGCCGCAACATACAGTCTCGCCCCCAAGCCCCCTCCCCACGGGCCCCTCCAAGCATGGTTGTGCGCTGCGCGAGGCCCCCCCCCTTGAGAGGCGACCGCCCCTTGAGCCCGCCACCAGGGCGCGGCATCCACCTTGCAAGGGAAGCGCCCTCCGTCCTCCTGGCACGGCTGGACAGTCGAAGCCGATAGCAAGGGCCCCATCCGCCCCGGGCCAGATGGGCGCCCGCGCGCGCGGGGGGGCGAGTGGTTCGAGGCGCTGCGGCTCGTATGCGGGCGGGGCCAGGAGAGGTGAGCGGGGAAGGCTCTGGCCCTGGACCGGCAGGGCGGCGCTCGTTCCGTTGGGTTCTTCAGGAAATGAGAAAAAGTCAGCCTCCCCAGGGCACGGGTGAGACCCATGCCAGGAAACACCCTGCTGGCCTCCAGGTTGCCATGGGTTTCTTGGGCTTCGATGGTTCTGCGATGGAGAGCGTGAGGTTCCCACACCAAAAATCAATGGACGCTCTGAGGTCTCAGGGCTTAGTTTCTTGTGGAAGGTGTCTTGTGGTCGAGCTCCTAATGTATGTGCGATCGATTTCCCAAGGGTACCCTTGTATCCCTGCCTTGTCGGTCATCTTCGCTACATCCTCAACCTCCTTCGATGGCCAGCCCCGCCCGAACAGCTTCGGCATGGGCGTCCAAGGCCCTTGCGTCCTTGTCGCGTATCCTTGCTATCAGCTTTGATACTAAGGGATGCAACAAGGATGAGCCATGAAAATCAAGGGCCTGCCCAGAACGCCTCGGCAAGGGACCGCCCTCCATCCGCGTCACAGCTGCTGATGAACAGTCGAGGACATTTCGGGCGAGAGCCCCCTTTTGAAACAGAGCCTCCCTCCATCAGCGTACGGTCGGGAACGTTTGCGCAGCGTGTCCCTCCGGTTCTGGCCCACCACTCTTGGGCGCGACACGCCAAGCACGTCCCAGACCCCAAGCATCAACGTTCCGAGTTTCTCCCCACCACCTGTCCCGCGAAGCTGATCGACACGCTGTAAGCTTGCATAGCAGCGGCCGCCGCCGCGACACAGTAAACACCAGTGATGGACCGCAGTTGCTGCACACATTCTCACACTTGCTGACAAGATTAGAAGAAGTTCCATGCGATCTCCACATTCTGAACACTAGCAAGCCTCCATCCGTGTAACTGTTGGATAAGTTGATGGCGAGTGTGCGCGGCGCCATGGCGAAAACCCCATTGTGAAAACGATATGCATACGAGCGTAAGTGCTGGAAGCATGGTGTTTCAAAATCGTAAACGGTGAAGACGTCTCAGTCGAAACGCCCAGCGGGCCCCAACTACTCGCCTGGTGGTGCACTATTGGGGAGTTACTTGTAAGGAAGAAGGATGGAGGAGGATAGAGCAGAGGAAGGGAGGAGTCGGAGGAGGAGGAGGAGGAAGAGGGAGCAGGAGGAGGAGAAGTCCTCGGTCTTCCCCCTTTCTCCTGCCCCTCCCTCCTCCCCACCCTCACGCAGCAGGAGGATGGATAAAGGAGAAGGAGGAGGATGAGGAGGATGCAGGAGGAGGAGGAGGAGGAAGAGGAGGAGTCCTCGTCCTTCCTCCCTTGTTCCGCCCCTCTCTCCCCCTCCACCCCCCCTCCCTCCGCCTCCTCCTCCGAGCCCGTCGCGCGCGAGGGGCAACGGCCGTGCTGCGCCTGCAGCAGGCGACATCGAGACAGCGTGGCATGGGGGGATGCGTGATGCACGCCCCCTCCCACCCAAAGAGACGTCCCAAAAGAGACGTCCACCTCCTCATCGACCATATCCTGTCCCCCCCTGCATGCCTCCTCCTCCCCATCTCCCTCCCTCTAACCCTCCACCCTCCGCCCTCCCTCCCTCCTTCCCTTTTCCCTCCTCCTCCTCCTCTTCTTCCTCCTCCTTTTCCTCCTCCTCTTCCTCCTCCTTCTCCTCCTCCTCCTCCCTCTTCTTCCTCCTCCTCCTCCTCCTCCCTCCCCCTCCTCCCTCCCCCTCCTCCCTCCCTCCCTCCCTCCCTCCCTCCCTTCTCCCCTCCCCCGATGCCGCCGCCCGCGCCCTCCGGCGTCTCCCTGCGCGTCTCCGCGGCGCTGCGCGCCTGCCTGGCGCCAGAGCCCGCGCCCGGGGGTGGGCAGCAGCCGGGGCTGTGGCCGTCGCTGCAGCGCACGTTGGAGGGCCGCGGGGTGCCCTGGGAGCCCATCGACGAGGACGGGCGTCGCACGCCGAGCTTCGCGCCGTTTCGGGACGATCTTGGATCTGGGGTAGGGGGTAGGGGGGGGGGGGGGCCTCTCTCGGGGCTCCTGGGGCGCCCTGGTAGCCACGGCTGGATCCGCCTGCAGATGCTGGCCAGACCGCGCCCCGGGATGGGTTCGAGGGCCGCGGTGTGCTGTTGGGGGCCCATCGACGAGGACGGGCCTCTTCCGTCGAGGATCACAGGGGGAGGCAGGGAGGGGAAGGGGAAGGAGGGGGAGGGGGGGCGGAGCGAGAGGAGGAGGGGAGGAGGAGGAGAGGAGGAGGGGGGAGGAGGAGGACAGAGGAGGAGAAGGAGGAGGAGGGGAAGGAGGAGGGGAGGAGAGGAGGAGGAGGAGGAGGAGGAGGAGGTTTCGACGCGAACTTGCCCGCATCCACGACTTACCGAGAGGAGGAGGAGCAGGAGCAGGAGCAGGAGCAGGAGCAGGAGCAGGAGCAGGAGGAGTGGGGGGGCGGAGGGGGCGGGGGGCGTGAGCGCGATTTTGAACGTCCGAAGTGCGGAAGTGAGGGCGGCGCTGCAGCGGGGGCACCATTTTGGAAGAACCAGAAAGGACCATATTGAAAAGACAAGAACAAACAATCAAATAGCACAATTGTCTCAGTAACAAAAATCATTACGCGGAGAGGACGGGAGACTCTCCAGACAGTCTGGGGAGAGAGGAGAGTAGTATTCATATCGGGTAATTGTTGAGGTGGAGGAGGAGGAGGAGGAGGAGGAGGAGGAGGAGGAGGAAGATCCAGTCGTATCGTTAGGATGGCATCGGGGTGGAGGAGGAGGAGGAGGAAGAAAATTAGGAAAATGAGGATGAGAAGAGAATGAGGAGAAGGAGGAGGAGGAGGAGCAGCAGGAGGAGGAGGAGGAGGAGAAGGGGGAGGAGGGGGGGTAAGGATGAGGAGGAGCAGCAGCAGCAGCAGAAGCATCAGGAGCAGTAGGAAAAGGAACGGATTTACCATGAATGAGTGGAGTCCTTGGATTCGTTCGCCGTTTTCATGCTTCCAGTGCCCCTTCCGGGTCCTTGAGTAATCAGTGCTTGCATTGAAGGTTTCCTACCGGAGGTCGAATGATTTAGGCCGATTTCGGTGGTCGACCAAGTTCGACATTTTAGTTCCAGTGAAATGTTGGGCCGATTTCGGTGGGCGGCTTGGGGGCCGATTTCGGTGGGCGGCCGGATTCTCAGGTGCCCAGTCTAGCTAGGGTCCCCGGCTCTGCAAGGTCCCTTGGTTCTCGGGTATTTGGCCGTGCCTGAAAATTGTTTTTTGCGAGCACGGTCAAAATCAGGGAGTAGACATGAGAGATGAGAAAGTACAGACCCGAGAGTTGGGAGCAGGGCTGAGCAGGCATAATAAGGATCATCTAGCATAAATCAGAAAGGGCAGAGCGATTTGAAAGGGCAGACGCATTAAACGGAGCAATAAGCCAGAGAGAGAGAGAGAGAGACCGAAGAAGGAGAGAGTGGAGAAGTGCGAAGCGCTTAAGTGCAACCTCGCTTATGCTTATGATGAAGTGTCAGAGCAAGCACAATTTTCGAGATCTTGAGCACATCCCTCAACAGCCGAATTATCGAGACATTGAGCACATCCGGGAGCACACGAAGACAGGGTCAAATATTTACTCTGTATCCCCTGCCTGTAGGAGCGCGCCAGTTGTTCCCTGATGGAGGATCGTGCTCGACCCCCTGGTGAGGGAGGGCGGGAACTAAAGAGCCAAAACGCGCGATGGAACGGACGGGTGCGGTCACCCTCGAGTCCAAAGCAAGAGACGTCGGAGATTGCACAAGTACCAGCTGGCTCACGCTATACGGGCAACCAGAGCAGGACGTGGAGAGAGGCGCGCAGCGCTCGGAACAAGTGCAGCCTCACTTTGCACCAAGAGCGTAACACGCACACGTCGCTTCTGAGTACGATCACGTGTCAGAGTAAGCACAGCAGCCGAGCTATCAAGATATGAAGCACATCCCGTACCCATACATGTGCACTGAGGGGACAGGGCGGGTGGGAAACAGCGAAGCGAAATAGCATCACGCGGCAGAGTTTGAACGATCCGCGTCTGAAACCTCGACGTCAATATCGAGCACGACAGCATGCTGCAGCCTCTTCAGAGCTGCGGGCACGGCACGGAGCTGCCTGGCAGACGCCTTGCCAGCCTGTCGCATCGAAGCGCCGTCTTGCTCTCCACACCTCCTCCGCACACGCCGTGGCCGATCGCCACAGGCCTCGCCTGCTGAAGGCCCGGAACCGTCCTGAGCTTGAGCGCTGCGGCCGTGCTCGGGCCGCCGTGCCGAGAGCTGCCCGCACCCTGCCCGGCCTCCGTGCGAAGCCCGCGGCGCGCGGGGCGGCCTCGGCGCGCGCCTGGGCCCCGAGGAGGGCGCCGCCGCACGCCGAGCGGCCGCAGCCTTTCAGGGGGGCTCGCCCCCCCGCTGCCGCAGGCACAGCGGTGCAGGCGTGGTCTCCCGACCTCGTGGTGGACGCCGGGTGCTGCCCCACGACGTCGGCCTGAGGTCGGCATCGTTTATCCAACCCTCAGCCCCGTCCCCATCCCCTTCGAGACCCACACCAAATTACCCCCCCAGCTGGGGATAGACCCCTCGCGACCCGAAGGGGCCGGCCTATATCCCTATCTAGGGGGGTCAATCGGTCAGCGGGGCCCAGGCCACGCCGCTGGGGATGGGGATCGGTTCAACGATACTCATGAGGTGCCAGGGTTCGAAGAAGACAGAATGCGGCAGAAGCGTAAAACTTGTGGCGCTCCGCGCGGACTGCTTGGATCCGCGCTGGGCCCCCTGGCGGCGCCTCTGGCGCCGCCCCTGGCGCGCGGGGTCTGGCGCAGATCCAGGAAGCCAGCGCGAAAGGCCACAAGTTTATGTTTATGCGCTTTTCTTCTTCTAAGGGTGACCGCCAGAGTGGGGTAGTTCGGTTTGGAGCCGGCGCGACGCTCGCTGACGTCGTGGCCGGCGGTGGTCAGGGTGTTGCTCGACCTGATGTAGCTGTCGAAGCTGACCAGCAGGGCCCCAGCGTCGTCGACAGTACATGGTCGTGGAAGCTCTCCGAGGGTAGTTTTTCACGAAGATCGTCTTGTGCATGGCGTTCCTGCCGTGGACCATGCTGAGGCCCTGGAAGTAGAGGTGGTCCAGGTACTTCACCATGTCGGCATCGACCTCGTCCAGTGTCTCTAAGACGGCGCTGGCCGGAAGCCCACGTCCTGAACTTGAGGTGGGCGTGTGTGTACAGTGGCAGGGTGCGGGGCTGCACGCGCTGGTGCCTTGAAGAGAAGGCTTGGCGACTCCCGCAGCCCGTTGGACCCTGCGAGCGGCCACGCTCCGAGCGGCATGAGCTCCTGGCCTCTGGCGCCCGCCGAGGGGCGCGGGGGCCTCGCCAGGCGGCGCCCCACTGCGGCGCCGGGACGGGCCACTCGGGCGGCGACCCGGCAGGGCAGTGGGGCGGCTGGCGCTGGAGCTTGACGTCGGCGCCAGGGTGACTAGTTGGCCGCCAGCTCAGCTTCCCAGCCGTCGCAGACAGTCAGTATCGTTTCACCGACCCCCATCCCCCTCCCCATCCCCTCCGAGACCCCAATGAAATTACCCCCCAGTTGGGGATACACCCCTCGAAACCCGAAGGGAATGGCCTATATCCACATCTAGGGGGTAAATCGGCCAGCGGGGCCGAGGCCACGCCGCTGGGGATGGGGATCGGATAAACGATGCTCAGACAGGACCGCCGGCCGCCGGCATCACCCCATGGCGCGCCGCGGGGCGCTGTGGCGCCCAGGAGGCGGGCCCAATGCCTGCAGAGCTCGGGTTAACTATGCCCCAGCAACGGCTGCAGGTACGGCCTGATGGTGATGTGACTGTCTCCTTGCCTTGGAGTACCTCGTGCTTGAAATCTCCGGGACAGGCGCGCTCGAGTGA